GTATATATAATACTCCCCACTCATTCCTTCATAGAAGTAAGGTAGGTACATTTTTTCACCTCTTTTTTAGGATAAAGTTACGCAATAATTATACAGCATCTGGTTTCTTTTGTTGTTGTTTTCTTCATTCATACTGTTACAGTGATTCCCCACATTGTTTTCTGGGTTCTACTTACTTTGTTGTAAATCAGTGGATTCAAGTCTTTCCCACGATTCTCTGAAACTTCAGCTTCATTGTTCCTCACGGAACAGTAATTTCCCATTATGTTAATGTATCACAAGTTCTGGGCATCTATGTTATTTCCAGTTCTTTGCTACTAGCAAAGAATGCTACTGTGAATATTTTGATGTGTACAGAACATATATTACTGTCTTTGACTTCCTTGAGGAATATCCATAACAGTGGGATCTCTGGGTCAAAGGGATATGGACATTTTAATCATTTTCTTAGTATTATTCAGAATTATTTTCCAGAATATGTGAACTTGTAGTCTCCAAAAAATTAAAAAGTGAATGCTACACAGATGACAATGGAAAGGGATATAAGTGTGATTAGGTAGTGACATGTAACCAATGATGCTCCAAAGAAGAACAGCAGTAAAAGATGTTACTAAGGAACTGTATGATTAGAAGAAAAGATAGGCTGATCATGTGGCAAGGGCAAGGTAATTAGAGATGGACAGCTAGAATGTTCTATTGCTCCCATTCTGATGTCAGCAGAAAACAAAAGGAATCCAGCACATCGGGAAGACACAAGTAAGAGTCACACAGAATAAATAGGCATAGATGGATTGCAATCCATATTGTCAGAGAAAGTCTAAATAGATGGGCTTATATGTACGTTTAATTATTTGAGAGCATGCTAAACTATTCTGCTTTACACATGATGTGTTCCATCTAGACTGGACTGCAAGCCATTTCCTTATCTTGTCCAGCATACTCCTGCCTCCATGAACTTTCACAGGACATAGCCCATGATTGAAATGGATGCCTGCCATTATTCCACTTGTTAAAATTTTTGTTCACAGTTCAGTATGTGTGTCCTCCTACCTGAAGCTTTCTGAGATACTCTCTGCTGAAAGTGATCTTATCCTACTCAAATTTCTCATAAAGCTTTTGTCAGACCACAATTATGCACTATTTCAACCTTGTAACATACTTTTTGTGTATACTTATTATTCTATCCACTCCCTATTCCTATTAAATTGTAAGTTCGTGGATGGAAGAGACTTTTAAAGAGACAGTGTTATACATATTAGTGCTTAATAAATTTCAACTGAATTGAAGTAATACAAATCAAAATTAATTGAACTGATGTTTTGATAAAGGGCAAAAAGAGCACCGTATTCAAAGTCAGAAGAACCATTGGGTCCTACTCCTGGCTCTCCTTATTAATGCAATCTTGTACAATCACTTAACCTTTCTGAGCTTCACCTTTTGCCCCTAAAGTGAGGGGGTTGAGCTAAAATATTTCTAAGGTCTATTTTAGATCTAAATTTAATCTTATGCTCCTATGTTGATTCAGACAGGAAAAAAATTCAACATCATTCATTACCATTAGGATCATTGACTCTAATTTAGCCAAATAAGATAAATGTATCTTGGACCAAGTGGGAACAGGTTCAGCTCCTTTCTCCTGTCTACCTAATTCAGTCCAAGCCAAGGTGAGTTCCTTAATTTGTAGTAGCAGGAACACTGGTGCCTAATAGACTGGATGCACATTTCCATCTCAAATACTTCAACTTGTCAAGTTTCATTTTCCTCCCTCATAAACCGGGTATTGTAAGTATTTGCACTACCCTATCTTAAAGGGTTATTTGGTATTACTTCATAAAATAGAAAGTGATAAATAGTTGTATTATTGCTAGACTTATATAAGTAAATTTTCGATTATTCAAGCTGTGTGTTCAATTATTCAAAGTCACAAATAACTGGCAGAATATTGATTCTAATGTAGCAGCCACAATTCTGTAGAAGAGATAAAACTTTACATTTATCTGTAAACTAATCTGCACGAATTATAGGTCCACATAGCATATACCTGCAAATGGACCAATTAGCCTTAATCCATTTGGAAGAAGCTTTCAAGGCCATTTGAACCCACTGCGATAATTTATTCTGTCTTCAGATAAACAGGCTAAACTAATATTGGGCCAACTGAGAACTGGTTTAGCGTCCTTTCTCTGCCTATCTAATTTAGTCAAGACATTCTCTAAACTGAATTTCTCAGAAGTCACTGGCTGGTTCTTAGTTGTTCATTGTGTTTATCAGAAGTAACTTTACATTTGCATAACTAATAGATCTAGCTCAAAATGTGTTGACATTTCAGCAGGGTTTTTTTTTAATGATCTTTAATGTTTTCCCCAAGTGGGGCAAACCCCACCTCTTGGTAAACTCTCATTATGTTTCCACATACTTCACAATCACAGGAATGAATAAAACTAGAAACCAATACCCAGTGCACATTATTTCAAACATTATAAAACATAGTGAGGCAGCTAGATGGCTCAGTGAATAGAGTGCTGGGCCTGGAGGCAGAAAGAGCTAAGTTCAAATCTGGCCTCAGAAACTTACTAGCCATGTGACTCTGGGTAAATCAGCTAACCTCTGTTTGCCTCAATCTACTGGAGAAGGAAATGGCAAACCACTTCAGTATCTTCGCCAAGAAAACCCCATGGATAATAATGTACTTGGGATCATGAAGAGCTGGACACAATTGAATGACTGAACAACAAGAAATAAAACAGCTGTAAATGCTTCAGTTCTATTCAAAAGAAATGCAGCCTCTAGACAAAGGGGATAACTGAATCAGTGTGTGTGTGTGTGTGTGTGTGTGTGTGTGTATGCGCGTGCACATGCATGCGTGTGTGTGTGAGACACTAGAATACTCTGTACATCCACTCTTGCCACGGGGGTCAGTAGTGAAAAACAAAGTAGAAAAGCAGAATAAAAAAAAGTTTAAAAAAAAAGTGTAGAGATAAATCACAACCTGGACAACCCTATGGTATTGTCCCATGCCTCAGGGTGATGATCCAGAGATCCATTGAGTTTGGAAAATGAATTTCCTTAGTTTATGTTAGGAATTAGTATATTCAAGGGCAGCTAGGTGATGCAATGGATAGAGTACTGGGCTTGAACTCAGCAAGACTTTTGAGTCCAAATCTGGCCTCAGACAGTTACTAGCTGTGTGATTCTGGGCAAGTCATTTAACCCTATTTGCCCCAGTTTCCTTATATGTAAAATAAGCTGGAGAAGGAAATGACATACCATTCCAAGTATCTCTGTCTAGAAAACCCCAAATGGGATCATAAAGAGTAGGACAAGACTGAAAAAATAAAACAAAAACAACGGTATATTCAACTTAGAATGTAGCATGTCTTTTTTTTTTCTTTGCCTAAAAGTTTCAGGTTCAAACTCAAGTTGAAATAACACAAAGACAGTAAGGAGGATGATGTCTCAAAAATATTTTCCTTTTGATTCAAACCTAAGGATAAAATCAAATAGCAAATTACCAGTGAAGAAAAATGCCCATGGGTCGATGTATTCTGGCAGCACATCAACTCAATTTACTTTTACAAACATTTTCAAAGTGTCTACCTACTACTGTCTGGCACTGTGTAGACAAGAAAAAAAAATAGTCCTTGGCCTCAAAGAGCTTACATTCTATTGACAAAGATTGTAAATGTAATAGATAAGTAAAATAGAATGATGTAAAATGATACACCTTTAATGGACCAATTCATGTCATCAGGGAGATTGATATCAAACAAAGCTTTCAGGTAATATTGACCTTAAAATATATTAAAGCAGAAAGCATTATATATAATGGGAAATATAAGGGATGTAGATGTAGATATGGGGAAATCTCATGGAGATTTGGAATACATGTCTCTATATTGGTGAGACCATTTGCTCAGTTGAAAGCCAGATGACCTCACTTTAATATGGCCAATTGAACCTTCCCGAGCATAGAGAAGTCTTAATTCTGAGTATCAAAACCAACAATTTGTTTGAAAAACAAATGAAAAGAAACACTTTCATTATGTTGAAAAATAAGGCAATAAAAGAAATGGACTGAATTAAAAATGAGTACTTTATTAACTTTATTGGTAAAATTGTTTTAATGTGAATGTAAATGTTTGTTCTAAGGTCATGTCTTGAGAGGCAGCATGGTAAGTGGATAGAAAACTGGCTTTAGGGTCAGGAAAACATAGGTTCAAATGCTACCTCTGATTGAAGTCATTTAATCTCCCAGTTCCCTATGCAACTCTTCGAGACTGTTAAGTTACAGATGAGGTACCAATCTGCACCAGTAGAGGGAGTTACTACACTAGGAGTTCCCTTTCTCAATAACAGAGAAATCAGAAATCCAAACTTCTTCCTCTCATACATAACATTAATATTTCAAAATTTCCTTTAATATTTTCCCTAATGATATTTGGGGGTTTGAATCTGCCAAAAATGACAATATGCCAGAATTTTGGTAGTAAAATAATCTTACTTGCATATGTTGATAATTTAATAATAAAACATTATTCTTCTACCCTCCCCATCTCATATCCACTACATAGAATAAGAAAGACTCTATGGTTGACTCCAATACAGAAAATCTTCCTAAGATAGAATGATGCATAGCTCAAAATATTTTTTTTAAATTTTTCTATAATGTAAACCAAAAAATAGCTCTGAATACATGAATCATATTTGTTATACACTTAAATATGATTTCTTTATTAAGTTGACCCTGTGAAAGGAAAACAAGATGAATCTACTTATCAATAGTCACATTTTTAGGTATTTACCACCTCATTAAATCATAGAGTGAAAGATAAGGTGATAGATATCTATAAATGAAAGGTTAGTGGCATATTCAAGGTCTAGGAATTCAGACGATGTTGAGCATACATGAGGTTTTCCCTAACAAAGCGTGATTTAAAAATACAGATAGGGTTATAAGACCTCATTAGTGCTAAGTTTTATATTTTTTTCTGTCACCACAGACCAGTTGCATGCCCACAAGCCAAGTATCCACAAGTTAACTATCCAAGAAGACAAAACCGATTTTGGAGCCCTCTCACGCTGGCCGTTTTCACAGTGGTCATTGTGATAATCATAGTGATCGCCATTGGTATTGTTGCTCGCGTTGTTATTGCGGGTAAGTACCAATCTATTACCTGTTTTGTGGCCAAATTTCATTATGAATAATACTTTGACACTTTCTTATGTTTAAGAATATTCGAGTGGTGTAAAAAATCATATTGGTTAACTTTTGAAAATGACCTGTAGTTCAGGCTCAATAAACAGAAGTAGCTATGATCCCGCACCAGGAGAGTATGATCTAAACTAGACAGATATATACATACCACCTTCAACAGTATGTTTACTCAAAGGTCATTGGACAAGAATCTCTCAGGGCACCAAGAGCTATGTTAAAGTTTATTAGTACTATAAAATATCTATGACTTTTGTAATTTCTGTCCCCTTTTATGCCACTCTATACAAGCAGAAGAATGCCATATACGGTAAGGGACAGTTTATATTTTTCTTTATTTAATTTATTGCTATGGCCAAATACTTCATCATCAAGCGTCCCATCTATATGGTGATACTGTCTCTATTTAGCTAGGCTGGACCTTAGAAAGATAATGCTTTGTTGCCAAAACCACATTCACTGTCTTTGCATGATAGTGGAAACTTTCAGAATTTTTGCTCTACTGGTCAAGAAACCAGGAAAGCCTCCATATAATGTTGAGATATTGAAGTAGGACCTTAGGGTGGAGATAAACTCACATATAAAAGACCAACAAAAGAGGCAATAGTAATGAAAGATTGATGGAATAGAAAGAGCACTCCGTGAGTCAGAGGCCTGAGTTTGAATCCTGGCTATGCTACTTGCCAGCTGTATGACCTTGGACATGTCAGTTAATCTGCTGGAGCCTTAATTTCCCCCACTGTAAAATGTGAGGATTGAGTTAGATAAGGTCTAAGGTTTCATCCATATCTATTCTTGTGATTATGTCACAATAAAGATGTCACAACAGATATGAAAGTTAATGAATGCTCATCCGAATCAGTATATGAAGAGCTACCTTGAGGTAAACTTAAGGTGGCATATGGAAAACTTCTTGTAAAATTTACAGAATTTTAAAGGTGGGAGGGAAGTTATAGAGAAACAATTTCCTAACGGCTGTACTGAGGCCTAGAAAGGTGAAGGGACTACAAAAATAACAGTGCAAATGAATTCATGTTTCACAGACTTACCATCTAGCTCTGTTTCTTCTCAAACAAGGAGTGTTTTGTTTTCAAAACTGAGTCTCTCTATCTGGCCAAAGTTGAAAGCACAGTTAATGTTCTTTTCTTCAATTGAACCCAGCTGACTGGCACAGAAGCAGCTGCTCTATTTCCAACCTGAGCCAATCTGCCTCTCGAGATGGGGCTAAGTACTTTACAAATATTTACTCATTTGATTCTCATAACAATTCTAGGAGGCAGATGCTGTTATCATCCCCACTTTATAGTTGAGGAAACTGAGGCAAATACAGGTTCAGTGATTTTCCAAGGGTCACCCAGCTATTAAATATCCTTAGCTGGATTTGAACTCAGATTTTCCTTACTCCAGGACCAGTGCTCTCTATCCACCAAGCCACCTAGCTGCCGCTTGGGGTCAATGCATTGGTTCCTGATTGAGTGTGGACACTCAGCCCTACTGTGGCTCAGAACAGCTAAGGAAGGGCAGTGATGAAGAAGAAGAAAAGAACATTAATGCAACTTTTAAAAATATACAAAAAAAAGCAGAAGGAAATTTAGAAGGGGACATTGACAAGCAGGTCAGTGTTAAATCTAATATGCACTTTAAAAAAACTCAAGCTGTATGTAATACATTCCTAGCTTTATATGTTGTTCAGTTGTTTCAGTTATATCTAACTCTTTGTGATCCTATTTGGGGTTTTCTTGCAAAGATACTGGAGTGGTTTGCCATTTCCTTCTCCAGCTCATTTTTATAGATGAGAAAACTGAGGTAAACATGATTGGGTAACTTACCCAGGATCACACAGCTAAGTGTCTGAGGCTGGATTTGAATTCAGGTCTTCCTGATTCCAGATCCAGTGCTCAACCCACTACCCAATCCTTCCTTTCTGGCCTTTCTATGTGGAAATGTCTATGTCTGGTGATTTTCCAATTCATAACAAAAATATATAAATTATAGAATTAGGGAAATAGATGCTCCATGACTATTTATTTATGTAATTTATTTAAGGAATAAATTAAGGAATAAAGAATCAATTCTTAGTTATACCTAGTAGTATAGGGAAGAAACATTATCCAAAATGATAGACAACTTGAAGTCATTTATTTTCATCTCTGAAACATGTTTTTTGCACTGACATCTGAATGTGGGTGTGTCTGATGCTTGGGGAAATCATGTCAAACAAGATTAAAATGTTGTCTTGTGAAGACCTGACAAGGGAGGAGCTGAAAATCTATTCATTGTCTCCAGCTTACCTCACTGCTTGGCTCTATCCTCCCTACTGCCCACTACATTCTGGATGTAGAAAAAGTCAGTCAACCCTGAGATGCCACAAAGCACTCGTCTAAATCAAGTTGACACCTCCCTGAATTTTTTACCTTTCTTATTCATACCTTACTTAGGTTGGGGGAAGCAATTAAGTACTTAAAATTTGTCTTCAGGGTTTTAGGCTTCATGAAAAAATATATGTAAGAGATGAGATAGTAAATAGTAGTACTAAACTTTTTAAATTTGCAAGGTAAACAGCATCTTTAAGAAGGAGAAAAATGTTACCCACAGACAATGGAAAATTGACATCACATAGATTAAAATGTATTTTAAAATCTTGAGTTCATGAATTCTAAAGTTCAGTGGGCTAAACCAATCAGGTGTCTGTACTAAGTGCAGCACTAATAATGGTGAGCCCTGGGAGTCGGGGCCAGTGTAGATTGGGGATACCAAGTTGCCTAAGAAAGAGTGAACTGATTCGGGTCAGAAAATGGAGCATGTGAAAGGTCCCAGACCTGTAAGAGCAGTGAGTAGCTCCTGTACTTCCAGCCCAGCAGAGATCGAGATCTTCTCTCAAAAAAAAAAAAGATAAGAAAAAGGAAAAAAAAAGAAAAGAAGACAAGAGAAAAGGAAAAGAAGGAAAGGAAAAGGAAGAATAAATGCAAAGTGAACCATGTAAAAGACTTTCAACATCTATCACTTATCAGTTGTATACAAATAATATTATGTTAGCAGCATTATTCTGAACAGATAGAACTGAGAAGTAAAAAGGCAATAATATTACAGACAATAAAGAAATTACTTGTGAGTTTTTATATTAAAAAAAAAGACAACTAGGGAGCAGCTAGGTGGTGCAGTGGATAGAGCACTGGCCCTGAAGTCAGGAGGACCTGAGTTCGAATCTGGCCTCAGACCAAACACTTGACACTTACTAGCTGTGTGACCCTGGGCAAGTCACTTAACCTCAATTGCCTAAAAGCAAAAAAAAAAAAGGCAACTAAAGGTCAAAGATTTTTTAAGTTCAATCATGTCTGACTTTTTGTGACCCTGTTTGGGGTTTTCTTGGCAAAGATATTAGAATAGTTTGCCATTTCCTTCTCCAGCTCATTTTACAGATGAGGAACTGAGGCTAGCAGGGTTAAAAGACTTGCCCATGGTCACACAGGTAGTGTCTGAGGCTATCTTTGAACTCAGAAAGATGAGCATTCCAGACTTCAGACCCAGCACTCTATCCATTGGGCCACCTAGATGCCCCGCATTAAAAGTAGGTCTACACTATTTATGTATGTTGAGGATGGGGGACAAGGGAGGCAGTGAGGAACTACTGTTTTAATCTCAAGAATCATTAATCTTTCATGCCTTTATATTGTAAGCCATTCTTTCTCTGGATCTTTCTCAACATTTAACTAACCTTTACAAATATTTGAGATTCAGTTTGATTTAGTGGCTAGAGATTGTGTTTAAGTCCTTGAGTTCAGGGCCTACTTCTGACAAATGTTAATTGTGTGATGCTAAGCAAGTCACTTAACCTCTCTGTGCCCTTGGCAACTCTATAAGACTATAAGTTGTAAAGAAGGTGCTGCCCTTCATTGATAGAAGGACTTTCTTAATCATGGAATTCCCAATAACAATGAAATCATAGGTCTAGTCCCTGCCAACAAACACTTATAGAAGGCCTACTGTTTGATCTCCCATTTCTAGATTACTCATGTTAAAACATTCATGTAATTCAGCCTTTACTGTCTCTTTACATTCTGATGACACACTAGATCTAGTTATTTCCGAAGTATCTTATCTATACTGATAATTAATACAGCTAGGTGCTTCAGTAGATAGAATGCTGTGCCTAGAGTCAGGAAGACCTGAGTTCAAATCCAGCCTTAAACCAGCCATGTGGCCCTAGGCAAGTCTTAACCCTGTCAGCCTCAGTTCCACATCTATAAAATGAGCTGGAGAAGGAAATGGCAAACAATTCTAGTACCTTTGCCAAGAAAAGCCCAAATAAGGTCACAAAGAGTCAAACATGCCTGAAACAACAGAACAACTGATAATACCATTTATAGCAGATAGCCACTAATGAATATGTTACAATCTAACACCATTACAAGATTCAACCCAAACCAAAAAGAGACTTCTTGTTTTCTTTAAGGGGTTGCTACTTCTGCAAACCCAAACAAAATATATTTATTAAGAGAGTAAGTTTTCCCAAGATGTGAAAGACTATTTAGAACCTTCTCAGTGAAACCAGTCGCTCATTCCATCTCAGACAAAATAGATCTTGAATAACGTATGGAAACTTACCAATGGGTGACGGGCTTTATCAGGCTTGTCTGGAACTTCATAGTTTCTCACATTGAAATAAAGTAATTATTTATGAAGTGTAGGTGTTCCCTTCACTAGCACGTGAAAATGTGATTATGACAGCGTTGACAACAATTCGGCAAATACACCATCTCTGAAACTACTCTTTACTCCTCTTCAGGAAGGTCTGCTTCAATTTATTCAATTCAAATCAATTTAACAAATATTTATTTAATAGCAGCTATAGGCTCAATGTTGAAACAAAGCTTCTCTTAGTGAACAGAAGACTAGCCTAGGAGATAAGGAGACCTGGTTTGAAGCTCTGCCTCTGACACATACTGGCTATGGGACTCTGGGGAAGTCACTTAACCTCATGGCGCTGTAGGCAGGACCATAAATTTCAGAGGTGGTGTTGGATATGCAATGGTAGAGGGAATTTCTTCATGGGGTGAATGCCTATATATATAGGCAGCTAGAAGGCACAGTGGGTAGGCTGGCTAGGTATGGAGTTAGAAAGACCCAAGTTAAAATCCTGCTTCAGACACTTACCATGTGATTGGGTAAATCACTTGACCTCTATTTGCCTGTTTCCTCATCTGTAAAATAGGGATTATAATACCACCTCCCTTGCAGGGTTGCTGTGAAGATAAATGAGATGTTTGTGAAGTGCTTAGCATAGTGACTGGCACATAGTAAGTGCTATATAAATGTTAGCTATTGTTATTATTATTATTATTATTATTATTATTATTATTGTTATTATTATTATTATTAGGTAACTCTCTAAGACTGTAAGTGGAGAAGACTGTAAGTTGGATATGCAATGGTGAAGAGAGTTTCTTCACCTGGAGGAGGCCAGCTAGGTAACTAGGAGATGCATTGTGGATAGTGTGCTGGGCCTGTAGTCAGGAAGTCCTGAGTTCATATCCTGCCTTAGACACTAGCTGGTGACCTTAGACAAATCATTTAATGTCTCATCAGTTGTAAAATGTGGATAATAATAGCATCTGCCTTATAAGATTGGTGTGAAGATCAAATAAAATAATATTTGTAAAGTGTTTAGCACCGTGTCTAGATCACAGCAGGCCCCTGAAAATGCTTGTTGTCTTTTCCTTCCCTAGGCCAATTAAATCACAGGTCTAGTCCCTGTTAAACCCCTATGTATATGCTCAAAGATGGTATAAAAACACAGATATGACACAGATCCTGTTTTAAAGGAGTTTATAATCTAGCAGGGATAGGAAGGAATAGATAGAGACTTTACCATCTTCCTGATCTTTAATATTTTTTATGGTTTTTTTGTTTGTTTGTTTGTTTTTTGGTTAGGCAATGGGGTTAAGTGGCTTGCCCAGGGTCACACAGCTAGTAAGTGTTATGTGTCTGAGGCCGGATTTGAACTCAGGTCCTCCTGAATCCAGGGCTGGTGCTCTATCTACTGCACCACCTAGCTGCCCCCTGATCTTTAATATGAATAGTCCCTAAATTTCTATTCTTGGGTTCTTCCTCTTCACATCTCTTGGTAATCTCATTCATTCACGTGGCTTTAACTCTTTAGCTATCACTTCTGTTTAAGTGACTCCAAACATCTATTCACCCATATCTGTCTTTGTCTCTCTTCCTTTCCATCACTCCACCTGGATGACTCACTGACATCTCAAATATAACCTGTACCTGATTCTGACTTTATTATTTCTACCTTTGGCACCATCATCCACCCACTGTTGAGTTACCTGATTTTTCCTTTGACTCTCCTAATTTGTTATTATGTCTAGTTGACTTTACCTTCATGGTATCTCCTTCTGTCTCTCTTATTTCTATTCCCTTCTCTATAGTCCCACTGTTACCATCACATAATCTCCTAAGAAGTCTTTCCACCTCCATTTATTCTATCTCTAATCCACCTGTTGTGTTGCTGTAAACCTGAAGAAGTCATGTCTATAAAGAGTGACAACATGCATATTCCCCTTTTAAAGAGTAAAAGATGACAACTTTATTGGCACTTTGAATAGTATAAGAAGTGTATTATAACTAATGTACTAATAACGTGCCATAAATTTGTAGAGCTTGTTAAAGCACAATTCACATTTTCATATGTTATTCATTTTCACGTCTATATGACTCCAGGGAATACATTGTTTCACCATGGGAAATGAGGAATTGGAGTGTATATTTATACACAATGATGAGGAGTGGTTCTTTTACATTTAGGAAGTGTTAATTTAATTTATGCAAAATTATTTGTATTATGAAATCTAATTATTGCAATTCCATGATCAAAGTCTATCTGTACTATTGGGAAAGCACAATTTAAAACAGATGGAACAGATTAAAGAAGTGATTTGGAAAATCCAAATAATTATTTTTTGGTCCTTAAAGATAATTACTGAAAAAAGATACTGTTTTGTACACAGACTAGGATTTTGCTCATGCAGTTTGTCCAACCAGATGTCCAACCATCTCTTCTCATAAAGGACCATTTCTACCATCACTTCCTCCCTGTTCTTTAAAGTATAATGCTTTTAGTCTGTTCCATACAATTTAATATTTAATCGCAATATTTAAATACAATATTGTATTGATATTTAGTTGTTTCATGTATACGTTTTGTCTCTCCAACTAGAATATAAACTCTTTGAGATCAGGGATCAGGTCTTATCTTTAACCCCATAACTTCTAGCACTAGCTGGGCATAGAGGTAATGATCAATACCTACTTGCTGACTCATGACTGACACTGCCAATTATGAATTAAATTATAATAGTAGTTATATTTAGAGGCAGATAGGTGGCAGAGTAGACAGAGCACCGGCCCTGGACTCAGGAAGACCTGAATTCAAATCCGACCTCAGACACAAAACACTTACTAGCTGTCTGACCCTGGGCAAGTCACTTAACCCCATTGCCTAGCCCCAAAAAAATTTAATTAAAATTACATTAAAGAATTAAATTCTAATTTTTCAGTTTGATAATAACAATAACAACTCTTACTGAGTCACAAAAAGCAGCCACTTCATCCACTTGGCCAAAAATCTGTAGAAAATTAACAACACAAAAATAGTAGCAGAAAAGTAACTTATTCTCATTAATGTTTTTATCATGATCTCATCAAAAAATAAGATAAAAATGAGATGAGCAATAATGATGAGGAGGATAACATATCTATATAGTCCCCACTATATAGTGCTTTGTGGTAGAGAATGTGTGGAAATATTGTTTTTGTTCTGTTTTTTGTTTTTTCTCAATTTGGTTAGGCATTGGGGTTAAGTGATTTGCCCAGGGTCACACAGCTAGTAAGTGTTATGTGTCTGAAGTCACATTTGAACTCAAGTCCTCCTGAATCTAAGGCTGGTACTCTATCCATTGTGCCACCTAGCTGCCCCGCATGGAAATATTACTAAATATGAATGCTTTGCAGAAAAGGAAACTGAAACTTCCAGAGGATGTGACTTATTCATAGTCACATAGCTAGTACATAGTAGAACCTGAATTTGAATGCAATTCTCATGACAACAAATGCAATGCTTTTTCTGTCACAGACACACCTGCTAATGCTCTAGGCTCTGGATATGTTTGCATCTTCCTCTTCCCTGACCCCTCACCCCTTGTTTAATTCAAGGTACTGCTTTTTCCCATGTAGAAACTACTGGATGCTCCGATATACCATATATGGCAGGTATATTACATCTCTGTTCCCCAGAATATTGGAATGACTCCATGGAGAGAACACTAGGACTCAATGTGCATACACCTTTTCCAGCTAACTCACAGGGTGCTTACCTTTGTGTTTCACCTCAATCCTCACCTCTCTTTGCAGCACCTAAATCAAGGTTCAAACTAGGACAAACCCAATTCTCTAAGAATCAGTGTTCAAATTCAGGTGCAAATTTCTTGGAATCTATACCCAAACACACCCTCATTTATATTCACTGACAATTTATTTCTCTCTCTCTCTCAGTAGTATTCTAGCATCGTCTCAAAGTGGTATCCCCTCTCATACAAGTATTCCATTTTCATGCTTTATATATACTCAACTGCCACTAGCCAGATTCCTACCTAGCTTTGATTCACTGGTTACCAGCATCAGGAGAGGGCCAAGCAAGTGGTATGGTGGATGTGGCACTGGGCCAGGCGTCAGGAACTTGCTCAGTCATGTCCAACTCCTCTTGGCTCCATCTGGGGTTTTCTTGGCCTGAGTTCAAATCTGGCCTCAGATACTTACTGGCTATGTGACCCTGGGCAAGTTCCTTAATCCTGTTTGCCTCAGTTTCCTCATTTATATAATGAGTTGGAGAAGGAAATGGCAAACCATTGCAGTATCTTTGCCAAGAAAATCTCAAATGAGGTCACAAAGAGTCAGATGTGGCTGAAACGATTGAACACAGCATCAGTAGGATATGCTGAGTGATCTTTTAGGACCATGATTAATAATTATGGCACACTCTGAGCCCTTTTTGACTTAGGCACATAGCCGTTTGCTCCCAGTCTTTATCACTTCCCACTATGCCATGCTGCTTCAAAATAGTTGGCAACAAGTCAAGTTTTTGGAAATGAAAAATTACTCTGTCATTACACAAACAACTAGACTATTAAATTCATCTTCAAAAACTGTCTTAGCTATGATGTGGCGGAGTTAGCATTTCAATAAGGGTGGTAACAATTTCACAATATGACTTTTAATGTTCACATAAGTCATAATTTTCATGCCCAATTGTGTATGTGGTATATGTGCCTATAACCACAATTATACTAAATGAGATGTCAGATCCTCAGTTGTCTGATTAATCTGATAAACAGATACAGCTAGGAAATGTGAAATCTGCAAAGCAGATTATTTTTTGGTGGTGGTGGTGGTGGTTTTCTGCAGCAATCAAGTTAAGAAATAGTTTTCAAATACATTTCATTTTTGTGTATCACACACATTCCATATGTGTGAGCATATTTTTATATTTATAAATATACATGTATCATATATGTACATATATGTATATATATATGCATATATTATATCAGTGTTTCATTTACTTTACCCTACAGATGAAAAGACCTTCTATTACCTTGTCACCTTTAAGATCACTAACATCAAATATAAAGAGAAATATGGAAGAAAAACTTCAAGAGAATTTGTAGAGCGGAGTCACCAGATTGAAAGAATGGTAAGCTTAATTGCCTTTGTGAAATGTTATATTAGCCTTAGGACAGTGCCTGCTGTTTGCTTCACTTTCAATGATCCTTAGCTTAGCAACACACACAGTATAGAACTTATAAATGACACATCATTTCTGCTTATTGATTTCTACATCTTTATGCCTGTTATGTTAAATAAGGAAATAAAGTTGTCTGATTCATTCTGACACATTTTGCTAAATGTCTCTTATGTGCAAAGCACCATGCTAGGAGCTAGGGTTATGAAGATAAAAACAAAATAGTCCCTATCCTCAAGAAGTTTACAATTTTCCTGAGGAGGTGTCAAGATCAGATCTGTGTATAAGCAAGTTAATTTTTAGCTGTGTGGAGGCTAGATTGGAGAAGGAAGTAGTAGTTGCCTTACGGGGTAGGTTTCTTGTGTATCTCTTTGCTAGAGATTGCTAGACATTCATTTCATGGGTATTTATTTATGAAGTACTTAATGTATACAGGCTCCTGCCATATTCACACTAAAGGGGACATCGAAAAATATAAGATATAGCTCTTTACTATTAAGAAACTCGTAAGCCTAGAGATACAATGGTATGCAAAGTTAAATAAAAAATACTGTAGATTATATTATTGTGCCAAATGGTTCAACTGGATATTCAGAGTTTTAGAGAAAGATCAGTGGTTGTGGGCTGGGGGATGGTCAGAGAGGGCTTCCTGGAGGGAGGCAGGGCCATCCTTCAAGGCTCAGTTCAAGCCCTGTCTCCCTGACTAGCTGTGTGATCCCTTCTTCAATCCATCCTCCACACAGCTAAGAAATTACATTGCTTATACACAGATCAGATCTCAACAGTTCCTCAGAAAAATTGTAAGCTCCTTGAGGACAGGGACTATTTTGTTTTTGTCTTCATAATCTCAGCACCTAGATTAGTGCCTTGCACATGAGACATTTAGTGAAATTTGTCAGTCTGGGGGAGACGTGATGAGGATCTGAATTAGGGTGGTAGCTCCATATGGAGAAAGAAGGGTACAAATTGGAGAGGTGTAGTAAAGTAGAATTAGCAAGACTTGATAACTAACAAAACAAAGAAATTGAGGGAGAGTGAAGAATCATGTATGGTTCTAATGTTATAAGTAAGGGTTGTATAAGTAGGGGAAAAGATAATGTCTTCAAAAGAAATAGAGAAGTATAGGGAAGGGAAGAATTAAATTTAGACTTTTTATGCTATTTATTGTTGTTATTATTTTATTACTATTACTATCACCACCACTACTACTACTACTACTATTATTATAACTTGTTCCTTATTCTCTTGGACAATGATTTCCTCTTTCTGGACAGTATACTTTCTGGAATTATGGCTTTCTGGAAATATGGCTGGAATTGGACCTGATATCACAGGTGCTGATAGAATGTCTTTAGGTTGAACACAGTAGGTAATCTGTATTGCCATTTCTTTTTTTTTTAGCCAGAGAAGGGAATGACAAACCACTCCAATATCTTTGTCAAGAAAATGTTACGGTTGATGTTAAAATGCTAAAAAGACATGACGTTGGAAGATGAACCCTCAGATCAGAAGGGCCTGGCATACTCAACTCAAAGAGTTGAACACAACTGAATGACTGAACAACAAAAATATTACCATTTAGTGGAAGCTAGGGCAGTTGTTATGAAGCTTTCTAATTATATTTATTTTCTCATTATTATCCATTTTGAAAATAAGAAACATTAATTTTTCTCCTTGGGATGTTCTTAGATCCATGTCTTATCCAGCCCAATTGTAATTGATTTGAAATTGAAGAAATGTTTAGCCTGAAAGAGTATTTAAGAGTATTTTGTCTTCCCAATCCCAATCCCAAAAATGCATATGAATATACCCTACACACACTCACACACACACACACACACACACACACACACACACACACACACACACACACATATATATCTTTTTAAAGTTCTTTTCTGAAGCTTCATTTTGGAGTAAAAGTGTCCTACATTCTCAAAAAACAAATGCTTTTGCAGCTTTAGGCCTTGCAGACTTTATCAAGCTGAAAAAGTTTTACATACAAGCCTGACAATAGACTTTGTCATCTGAGAACTAAGTTCACAAAATTTGGAGGCTTTTTCCCCAACAATTCATAAGGATCATTTAGTAAGTAACAGAGGGATTGAAATCTGCATCAGTGGAAGGAGAACCCATATCTACAAAATTGCAGATTCTTGAAATATCAAAGAAATATTTATTTGTCTCAGAATGACTTCTCTCAAACTTTAGAGAGGTATCTTCTATTTCTAATTTACTGTGTTTTGGTGGACAAATCTATGATCAATTATTATCTGTAGATTTCAATTGTATTCTTTGTCAGACATTGTCTTTTCAGACTGATGCATCCTAATCTTTTTAGCTAGTTCTCATTCAACAGCAATCCTATTTGGACTTGATCTAGTTTTCTATTTTTTTAACCATCACCAAAAAACTTTAATGATTATGACTTTAAATATCTTTTGGGGTCTGTAAGTACTATTCTTCCTTCATTCCTCCTCTTTTTTTTTTATTAGGCCTCTGTTTTCTTCAGATGAATTTTGTTACCTCTTAAGAACCCCCTTGGTACTTTTACTGGTGTCACACTTTGGTTTGGGGCCAGACTCATGATATCATCATAATAAGAAACTCTTCCTAAGGAAGATCCCTAAGCCAATGCCAATGTTTGTCAACTCCAAGTCTTGCCCAGGCACCAAGAAGTTAAGTGATTTACCCCAGGTCACTAAACCAGTTTGTGTGAGTTGTGGGACCTTACTCCAAAGCTAGTTCTTTATCCAACATGTCATGTTGGCTTCTTGGTAGAGCACTAAAACTATAATTTAGATATGTCATCCCTTTTTGGTATGGCACAACAGTGATCATTATATTTTCAATTATTTACATCATTAGGTAGGATTTTCAGGTGTATGCTATATCTTACTCCTTTTGTATATTCCCATCCTTTAAAATACGAATTCAGGCTACCCCACAGGCTGCCCAATCTGAGGGGGCTCAGTTGAGAAATAAGTAGCTGCTCAGGTCCAGTTTTTATTTTTTTATACCAGTAAGAGAGAGTAATGAAGTAATACTTCATCTCTTAATTCAAGTAAGTTTGAGACTACATTTATTGCACAGCTGACCTCAGGCATGAGAAAAAGTAGCAGGTATGTATCATTTAAGAAAGAACTCACTACTCAAAAGACATCAGGCTATAGCTAATACCTGAAATTCCACCCTGAGAAATCCATTTATGGTCACTGAGGGATTCTCCCCTACTAAAATGCAAATGCCCCTGGGAAGACTAACATTAAAATTTATCATCTATTAATACTTCAGCATGAATCAGTTTATCAGGTCTTCTCCCACCTGACATTCAACTGTTAATAGGTATGTGCAGAATGAAACCTATAACTGACATATTTTTACTTGAGAGGGGTGGGTAGAAAGTTCTACAGTCTGGCCTTTTCAATAAAAAGCAGCCCTGTACAAGATACCACAGTGAAGACATCTGAGGAAAGGGAGAGTGGGACACCAAGATTAAGAAAATGGCATAAAGACTAAAAGGGATAAAAAGAGAAGTGAAATGGACAAATTTTACCTATTTCATAAAGTTGCCTAAGGCTACCTGACCATTACTAATTACAACCTTTTATTGAAAGTTCTCATTTGACATAAAGGAATTTGGTATACTTCAGAAAATTTCCCCTGGCTAACCTTTTCCTGACCCAGAAAATCTGGCAACTTTGCTGTAAAACAACATTCAGTGTGTTATCATCAATTGCCCTTGAAAGTGTACAATTCACAAAATTCAATGGAGAAAAAACTTATTTCCAGTTTAAAAAACACATATAGAGCTATTGTCAGAGTTAATGGAACATATAATATCAGCCAATCGGTGGCCTTTCTCCAGAGACCTGTATTGGTTCAAACACTTATAATAAGCCCCCTAGATGGCACAGGGGATAGTGGACTGGACTTGGAGTGAACAAGACCTGAGTTCAAACCCAGCTTCAGATACTTACTAGCTATATGATCTTGGGCAAGAAACTTAATCTCTGCTTGGTTTCCTCATCTGTAAAGTGGGAATAACAATAGCAACTAACTTCCTGGGTTCTTGTGAAGATCAAATAAAACAATATTTATGAAGTCCTTTGTATTCCTTAAAGCATCATATAAATTACAGCTATTACTATCTTATACCAGGTAGGGCTTCCAGTAGGAAAGTAGATAGTGTAAGTATTATCTTCATTTTATAGATGAAGGAACTGAGAAATGAAGTGATGTGTACCAAAGCCATTAAGACAGGATTCAAATGAAGCCTTTGTGGATCTCCCAAGCATCAAGGATGTAGAAAAACATAACACAGAAAAGAAACTTTGTTGAAGCTACTGAATAAACATGAGGCTATTACCATAGAAGGCAAATATGAACCTTCTAAAAAAAAGTAGCAAAATTCAGTGGAAGAAAGAGGATCTGTGGATATCAGCAGGTACAAGGAAATCTGCTACTGGCTCCCATATTAGTTGTGATGGCCAGTGGTTCCTTGAGTGACCAAGACTAAGGGGCATGTCAATCTGATATGATCATTTGAGTAATGTACTGTCTTATTGGGGCAAGAATCTGTGGTAAGTGGTAAGTGGTAAGTGACAGATTTCTTAACATCTAGCCATTTCTAGCGATTCATGTGACAGCCAATGATACAACTATGATATATCAGACAACATTCTAAAAATTATCAAATTCTGGGAAGGAAGGGTATGGACGTGTAGGTAGGTGATTAAAGACAGATCTGATAGAAGAGGCTTTTATGCAAAGTGAACAGCTAGCAGAGAAGATGATGCTGGTGAATGGGATTTAGCTTTCTGGACAGTGGCTCAAGATATAATAAGGTTGGGCTATTAACTAGAGATGAACTATATTTAATGAGTATTAGTTACACAGAACTGTCCTGGAGACTTCCTAATCTGACCAAAAATACTTTGACCACAAATTAT